AAGGAGCACAACCTTATCTTCTCTGGGGAAAGAGGTTAGCACCCTGTCAAGGTTGGCATAAAAGGCATCCTTTATGTTATCCTTTGCATTTAGTGTTGGGGCGTATTCACTGATGAAGTAGACATAACGTAAGTCATACAGTGGGACTCGAAACGTCATGAGGCACTATTTGATCCCAACAGGAATTTCAGTGAGCCTATGTAGGGTGGATTGGCGAATGGCAAAGCCAACTCCGTATATGCGGTTCCTCTCCGCAGTAGGCTTATGCTTCCAAAAGAAGGTATAGCCGGAACCCCGTTTGTGAGTCGACCCTCGTCTGGGAGTCGGGACCCACTAAAGGCTGCTATGTCGATGTTGAAGCTAGACAGCTCTTTTGCCACGAAGACGATTCTTCTTTCAGGACGCTCATTTTTGCCAGTATGTGATTATTATTGTGTTTTCGACCGCACAAGATGACCTTACTGGCTGCGGTTGCCCAGTCAGGTTGGTTCTTTAAGCAGGCTATGTTTAGGGCACCTTTCCTAGCCCTGTCCCCATGTGGGGTGAGCAGAGTGGCTCCTCAAAAGTGCTGCTCAGTCATATAGACAGTACCGGTTTGCACTGCTACCTAGATCCCAGTGCATAAATGACCATCTTATTTATGCTGTCCATGTGCATAGTTGTGACTAGAGACTCCCGGTAGTCATCTCTGCCTGTCCCCGTCGCCACTCGTCCGTCGCCATTGGATTTTTTGGGGTGTAGGGGTTTTGATGATGATGATGATGATGAGAAGTATGATGAGCTGGATGATGGCTGCGCATGAGTTGATTTATGTGGTGAGGCAGGTGATCAGGCTACAGCCACACATCTTGGCTCTCCCTTTTCCTGATCTAGTGGTGCAAGTAGTTGCAACGACTGGGGAGAGAGAAAGTTTCAAGGAACAGAAGATAGCCCAGTTTGTTGGGTTTCGCCTTACTAGACTGTCCATCTTGCATTGCCTTCATCCGCCGGTGTAGTTGTTGTGTTCCCATGTCGGTCACCTCTTCCGCCAATGGGCCTCTGGGGCCCACTGCTGTTCCAAGATCCCCTGCTGGTTTAGCCTGGAGCCACGAGGCACCCAGTTACCGTGTGTTGCCACGAGGAGGCACAGCAGGAATTTGATGATGAAGAGGCTGTGTACTGGCAGGGGAAGACTTACACAAGGTTGCTTCCCTCTTCACCACGAGGGCTATCCAGCGGCGGTGGCTGATAGCGAGAGGAAGCAGGCAGTGCTTGCACCACTAACCTAATGCTGCCACTCTAGACGCATTACACCACCTGTACTGCGCACATCATTGTCATTCCTAAAAACCCCATTTAATTCATATTACGGTATATAACATTCAAATCCACCGCGCTTGTAGAACCTCAGAAAATGGGAAACATTGATAAAGGATAACTCACCTACTCAATGTTACTAGACCATGTGTTGTATTGTACCCAGGTACAGTTATATCATATTAATTGTATGTATTCATAGCATTAAGGAGAACTCAGGGTATCCATAAGATGAATGTTAAAGTCCAGTTGAGCCGGACTAGTGTACTGTAGGACTAAGTGTGGATCAGGGTTTGAAGGTCATACTATTTACGTCTGTGAGCCTGTAGCGAACATAACTTCCACAGATATCATATGAAAATACATGAGAACAATGATCTGGAAAAAGGATAAATGTATCAGAACTATGTGAGGTGTTGGAAGTGACCCAGAAACTATACTTGTAAGGAAATATCTTGTATGCGTTGGTATGGACTTAATACACCTCGTATCCTCACGTGACCTATGCCCACGACAGGTACAGTGATCAGAGAATCTTATGTCTGTGTTCAAATAGTGCAAGGTGTGAGAGGAGGATCCCTCATTACAGTTTTAAGTGAAGTTGATACACCTCCGCCATGAACATTCAGCCTCTGTTTCAAGGCGCGTCATGTACCCGCCTCGGGTGCCACGTTGATATTATAACCCCATGAATTTACCCACGAACTAGCAAACCAAGACCTTACCTTAGTGTGTAATTTAGGATTAAAATATGTGTTTATAAAGCATGAGTGACAATATACCGAAAAGTGTTCAGGTGAGAACCATAAGAAACAAAAGTGAAAATTAAAGATTGGAAACTGTAGGCCTACATGATGAGGAGCGGCGGGGCAATGCCCTCAGTATTCCCCGTTCTACCGTCACCTCAGGTCAGTGTCCTAGCGGGCTATATCCCGCCCTATAATTAAGGTTTATATATAGAAGTTATTACAGTTTAAAGCTTTTCCGGATATATAAGTGTAATAGGAATGTGTTAGGGGTGGGATAACCGCCCGTCAGGCATTATTTCTCAGTATTTCCCGTTCTACCGTCACCTCAGGTTCCATGCGGTCGGAGTGCCTTGCCGCCCGGCCGCCATTATCCCTTTGAGCGTCACAACAGGTGGTGACTACTCCCCGCTATGCCAATCCACTGTGAACCTGTGGATTTCCAGCACACCACTCCAAATGAATAGTCACAAATAAGGAGACCGTGAGAAACTCTGCGGTCGTCACTTGGAGCGACTCCACCATTGGGATCAGCGTCAACAATTCTGCTCCCAACTATACCGCCCTTCAGGATTTATTGAACAGTCTCCAAAACTGGGCCACCAACAACCATGTCACCATCAACCATACCAAGACCATGGTTATGCACATCAACCTCTCCTCCGACATTGTCCCACCTCCTTCCATTAGCCTAGGTCCGAACACACTCCAGGTTGTAGATTCCACGAAGCTCCTCGGCGTCACCATAGACAACAAACTAAATTGGAAACCACACGTCAGTGAAGTTGTCAAATCCTCCAGTTTCCGTCTCCACCTGCTCCGCCGACTCAAGTCCCTCGGAGTTCCTGCACACCGAGAAACACTCGGTGGTATGCACAGCATTCATGCTGGCTCACTGTAGCATACACGCAGTTAACACTCCTGAAATGCTTACTGCTTGTAAAGCACGAAAAGATTACCCAAAGAGGGCATGCAAAGATTATTCTCTCCCCTTCCTACTCCACATATCAAGCGCTCTCAACACACTGACCCTTTCGACTCTCACTGACCATCACCACGACCTCATCTGCAAATTTGGTAAGCTTCTACACCATCCCCGACACCGGCTCCTACTACCACCTGAGATCCCCTGTCCGAGAATTGCTGTTCGACACCACAACCGCATCCAGCCCATACGTGCACGAACTGATCGCTATAAGAACAGCCCAGTCCCAACCATTGTAAAAATTATCAATAACATGTAATAAATCAGTGTATTCACTCCCAGTAAACACTGCTCCTTACACTGTCACTATGTTGAAATGAACTGTAGTTTGAGCTGATCCTCATCTAAGTTATTATATGTCTTATTTGTGTCACTTATGTTACTTGTATATTATTTGTAATTCGTAACCCATTCCCCAAATATGTAACTGTATATTTTCAGCCTTCTGGCTGCCAAGCTCTTTCAATAAACCGTTAATTATTATTATTATTATTATTTATAATACCAGGCGTAGAAATAGTGCTGGTATGTCTCTAGGTGAAGCCCTCGTCTTTACCCACCGAGGGCGGTGTGCGAACGAGGTGCCTGTTGTGTATACCTAAAAGTCACAAGGAGTCCCATACTTGCAGGTATGGAGTGTAACATGTGTGTTGAGATGGTGCTACTATGTATGATAACCGACAGTGCTATATTCCATACAGGTGGAGCAGTCTGATGTGTTAAGGGATAGTGTAAGAAGGAATGACCGAGGTTAGGTGGTCACAGATTGTTATGCAATAAGTAGGTGGATGACACGCCATCAATGTAAGAGTCTGGGGCCCATCTGGGTAACCACATTTTCGTTGTTCTTCTGAGGAAGGCCAATTCATGTATATGTTTTTTACCAGTATGTTTTATAAGGAATAAATCAATCAAGACATGTTATGGTTTCACCCTTCTTTACCCTTATCGATCTGGTCAATGGAAAACCTAACCCAATGCCTAGTCCACTCTACACGCTACCTAACGAGCAACATGCTGTCCAGAGGGGGGTCTGGTGGCAGCGACCCTTAGAAATTAAGATTAGAGTTAAGTGATCCCCTTAGACTTAGTGACCCCAGAATCTGGCAGTATACACCGTATGCTCATAACACACACACACACACACTCTTAGCAACAAGTGTAGTGTAATAAAAGTGTTTATAAACTGAGAATACTCCTGCTACCTTGGTTCCTCTGACACCACACTCCCTCCGCTCCCGGGAGGCTCGTTCACGGCCTCCCCTCACACCGCTAATACGCTGTAGACGCCAGTTTCCCTTATCCTGTAAGAGGGTTACGCCTCCCAACCACCGCTGACTTCCTAGGAGTGCCAAGCAGTCCCCGGTCCTTTGACGTAGGCATATAGGTCGAGTCCTGTAACTCCACCATGTCTGAGTTGACTGGAGACCCAGCTACTCGCTCTAACTCTCCTGATGCACTGAGTGAGCCAGGTGACTATGGTGTTGACCTTCACACCAATGGAGAGGAGGGCTTTCAACTAGTTCAGTCCAGGAACAAGCGGAAGGCCGAAAAGGCAGAAAACTTAGAGACCATCAAATACAACCTCAACCCCCCATGAGAGTAAGATTAAACTTCCCTGTAGGTACACCACCTGAAGTCAAGTATCGGTGGGTGGACGATGCAGAAGATAAACACCCAGACGCTGAGTTTATAGTTAGCCATGTAATTCGTTTTCTCTTATTAAAATTAAGTTCATAGAAAACCAGTTGACAATAACGGCGTTTGAATTACTAGGCTGGTAATAACTTCCACTTCTTCATTTCTGAGTTGATATCAATTATTAAATTGCTTTATATAAATTTGCTTCAAATATAATTGATAAATAAATTGTAGATTATTTGCATATTTTGGTAACATGAAGTGAAGGAGTAAATAAAATCCATAATTCGGTGATGACAGGTGGCCAACCGAACACTTATGCTGGTCGTCAATATAAACAACTCTACAGTGCCCGGTGTCAAGCAGCAGAGGTGTAATCTACAACTTAAAATTATTTTTTAAAAAGACGCCCCTGTGTAAGCTACACTGATAATTAAAGAAGAGGAGGGAGAAAAGGAAGTAAGGGTATAAGTATACAGTAAAATAAGGGGCCAATTTATGATAGTAGCCAGGTTTCGACTCTTCCACAAAAATACGTTTTTCCGATGGTTCTTGTTGTGATTCAAACGAATTTGACCTTAGTTTATGGTGCTAACCCCCGTTTTCAAGTAAACCCCCTTCCCCCATGACAGAGATGAGGGAAGGACTTAACCTAACCATGAAAAACATGACCTCGGACCCCCCCAAAAAGTGTTGATCGCGTTCTTACCTTAGAGGCTGGCGATCCCATAATGCAACTTTCTCCTCAGTTCGTGGTTTACCTATTGCCGAAAACAGAACTCTTGGTTAATATTAGGGTTATTTTTCGTTATCCACCCATCACTTTTTTTCACATAAAAAATAAATTTTTTCGCTAGTTTTCTTGGTAAATTTGTATTAGTGCACACATCTCTATTAGACAGTCAAAACTATGTTTTCATAGTGTATTTTTGTATGTTTTCATTGGTTCTGACCTTGATTTCCACCGGAAATTGCCTGTTTTTTTAGTTATCAGGTGTTTTAGGTGGAGCATTTTCCGACAAAAATCATGGCCAAGCGAATACAAAATACACACAAAAAAAACACTAGAAAAACATATAAACCGAACTTTTTTGGGGTGACCTAACCTGACCTAACCTAACCTGACCTGACCTGACCTGACCTGACTTATCCTGACCTAACCTAACTCTCACCATATGATGGAATCACTTATTTCTTACCTTATTGGCCTGGTTCTGGTTTGTCGTCGGATTCTGAGATCACAATGGCACTTTTCTAAAAGTGTTCCTTTGTAATCACTGATGGTGTACGAACACCGTCTCTTCTTTGTTTTGGGAATAAGGAACGAGTTACTATAATGCCAAATATGTTAGTCTTGAAGATATTTACGCTCATTCTTACACTTTGGACACTTTACTGATGTTGGGAGAACACCATGAGTTCTAAAAAATTATATAGCTTGTTCGTTTTTTTTCACCAAAACGCGCAATCAACTCCACACAATTGAAGTGACATCTATTGCAGACTTCCATGGTCGGAAATGAATTTAAATTTTGAAATATGAGACCCAAAATCACAATTGAATCTGATTGGGCAAAAAATACCGTAAATTAATCCACAATTCATTTTAGTTGGTGGCAAAAAAAAAAAGGCTTTTGATTGGCTTTGTGATGTATACGGGAACGCATGCGCATGATGATTTATGAAGGAAACACGTTGAGTTGGAGGTCAGGTAGGTGATAATGGCGGAATATTAATGGAAGAAAATAGAGAAATATCTGGCATGCGCCATCTCCGTTATTATATGTTTGTGACGGTAATGTAATAGAAGAAAATTATCTTAAAATTAGATGTCTTATTCGACTATGATAATTGATTTGGGGCAGGAAAGTTGTGTGCACTAATACAAAAATGCCATTTTCTTGCTGTTTTAGATGATTCTGACATTTATAGTCATCTAAAACAGCAAGAAAACCTAACCTGACCTAACCTAACAAAAAAAAGAGTTATTTGTCCCAAAGATAAATGTCAGAATCATCTAAAACAGCAAGAAAATTAGCGAAAAAATATATTTTTCATGTGAAAAAGGTGATGGGTGTTCATGAAAAATAACCAATATTAGTTTTCCCTCATTATGTCATTTCTTTCCTAACCTTTAGGTTAATTTTGGTTAAGTTAGGAGAAAAACAATTTCTCATATTGAAATGGGGAAAAGACTAAGAATTACCGAGCTCTTCAAGGGGATATTGTGGTTTTCTTAACTCGCTGTATCTCCGCTATTTCTCGTCAGCACAGAAAGTGTCATAGAAGAAATTTGTCTTATTTTTGTTAGGTATTGGAATTTGAAACCTGGCTACTATCCTAAATTAACCAAATAAAGTACCTTGTTTACCTTATAACCACCTCACCTAGACGGGGGAAGCCAATAGTATGTGTAGGATCCTTGCATTGTTATTGATAGTCTTGTCCAAGGCAGTTTAAAGCCCAGTACTGTTTTTGCAGTATTATCATTTTGGTCATCCAGCAAGGTTAGGTTTGGGTAAGGTTGAAATTATGTTTTTCTGATGGTTTTGATGTGATTTGAACGATTCTGACCTTCATTTTTAGTAAGTGGATGACTGAAACGATAATTTTACCATTTTCACTTCCACGGATTTAATTGGTAGACTTTTACAAGTCTACTATACTCTGTGTGAAAAAGTATTTCCTTTTGTTTATCCTGTATACCCTCAGCATTGTCACCTCTAATTTGGGTGGCCATTAGGTTAATAATGTAAATGATACTTTGGCAAGCTTTATGTTTTGTCCTCTTGTGGTGATAACGTGTGATATATATATATATATATATATATATATATATATATATATATATATATATATATATATATATATATATATATATATATATATATATATATACACACACACACACACACACACACAGTCATGCGCCGATTAATGTCTTAGATACGTTCTTGGAAATGTGACGTTAACCGAAATGGACGTTGTCCGATCATCACATAAACTTTTTATTTTTCCTTACGTGTATGTGGAATACTATATACGTACATATACACTTTTACTCTTAAATCACTACTGTAATGTGATACAGGTGATTAATTTTTATCTCTTGTTCAAAATACATGACGTTTATATTAAAATTATTCACTGTTTTACAAGGATTCCAGCAACGCTGAGCAGATGGGGGGGAGAGAGGGTGGGAGCGAGTGATGGGGTGTGAGGGGAGGGGAGGTAGTACGTTTGACAGTTGGCACAGGCCCAGGTGTAATGCGTGTATATTTATCAGTTCTTAGGTGACTAAGTTTCTCTCTTATAAAAAGCCAGTGAAATGACCTGGGTGAATATAAATAACATAGCTGGGATTCTTGTAACATACTGATTAATTTGAATATAAACATGCTATAATTTGCACTAGACAAAACAATTTTAGTACCGTAATCAAATTAGTACATGTGCACTCCAGTTTTGCACTAAGGTCATGTATTTCTATTATTTTTCTTTTAGTATGGTGTGAGCATGTAAATGGATGAAAATAAATTAAGAAATCTATGTAAATCTACCCAAAAATACAGTTGAAAAACTTTTTTATAAAATGTACTACAGTACTGTACACTAATGTACAACAATTTTTATCTCTTGAGCAAAATATATGACGTTTATATTCAAATTATTGGCTGTCTTGCAAGGATTCCAGCAATGCAAATTATAATCTCCAAACTTTAGTCTGAGATATTATATAAGATAGAAACTGTAAGCCTAAAGACCTGGCTGGGGGGGACTGACGGAAACAGCCACGCCAGCCAGCGAGGGGTTGGTGGGGGGGTTGAGGATAAGTTTGAGGCGACGGTATCTGTGTGTTTATATAACAGTCCTACTAAGCTTCTCTCATTTCAAAATGCCAGTGATATGACCTAGGAGAATATATTTAAGATAGCTGGGATTCTTGTAAGATACTGATTTATTTGAACATAAACATGTTGTAATTCACACTAGACATAACAATTTTAGTACCGTAATCAAATTAGTACATGTGCACTCCAGCTTTGCAATAAGGTCATATATTTCTTTTATGTTTCTTTTAGTCTGGTGTGTGCATGTAAATGGATGAAAATAAATGAAGAAATTTTTGTAAATCTACCCAAAAATGCAGTTGAAAAACTTTATAAAATGTACTACAGTCAACCCTGACTTTACGCGGTCCCACATTCCGCGTTTCCACGTTAACGCGGTGCCCTGCCAGAACCTAACGTGCTCACATTACGCGGTGCGTGAACCCCATTACGCGGAGAGTGTCCGGTGCGACGCTATTTTTAGATTCGCCCCACCCGCCTGCCTGTATGTGCTCTCGCCTCTCCCTCCTCCTCCCTTCGCCTGGGCAAGCCGCGCGGTAAGGTTGCGCAGTGTGTGTCTTTGTTGCGTTATCACTGACGTCATATGACGTATCGGACTGTGATTGGCCATGCATCCCTACCCCCCTCTGCTGCTAGCTGTAATTGGCTTAAAGTATTATGACGTGTCCACCCGGGGGAGGGAGGGAGGGAGGGAGGAAAGACGATCCTTGACCTAGCCGCTCCAGTTTCATCCCTCCACGCCAGACCATGTAAATGTGCATCCATTGTTTTCTAAAATGTCTTCCGCCGGACCACCGCCCCCAGAGAGAAACCTTTCCTTACCTGGACCCAGCGGCACTAAGCCAAAGAAGACACGACGTTTCTTAAGCTACGAGGTGAAGTATACCATCATCCAAGAGTTGGAGAAAGGAACAAGGCAGGTTGATTTGGCGCGCCAGCATGGTGTGAATGAATCTACGATTCGAACAATAAAGAAGGATGTAGCCAAGATAAAGGAGCACATGAAGATCACAAAGTCTACAGGTGCTTCTATGATCAAGTATTTTCACAACCAGGTGCTTCTCAAGACAGAAAAATTACTTGTGATGTACTTGGTGCGTCAGGCGCGACGGAACATGGCGGTCGACACGCGCTCTGTTAAGGAGTATGCACGTGAACTGTACATTGCAGTGGCACGAAAAATGGGAATTACAGAGCCCAAACCCTTTAATGCTTCCTCTGGGTGGTTACAGAGGTTTAAAATCCGGAACAAGATCACCAATATAAACATTGGTGGTGAAGAAGCGAGTGCTGACCGTGCTGCGGCTAGGGAATTTCCTCCGTTTTTACGTGAGATTATGGAGGAAGGACAGTACAGTGACGACCAGGTGTTTAACATGGATGAATCTGGTCTTTTCTGGAAAAAGCTACCTTCCAAGTCCTTCGTTGTAAAGAATGCCAGCAAGATTCGGGGCCGGAAGATGCAGAAGGAACGCATCACCGTCCTGTTTATCACCAATGCCTCCGGTACCAGTAAGCTCAAGTTATCGGTGATCCACACAGCACGCAAGCCGCACGCCTACAAAACCATGGACATGACCAAGCTAAATGTCCACTGGCTGACCGCAC